ATGGGACACTTGATGATTATATGCAGCACTGTCTCCTCAACTCCCGGTTCACAAAGACATGATGAGTTCTCCTTACATTTAAATCGGTGCAAGTACTCAGAGAACCCACCATGCCCGGTCATGACCTGTATCATTGTAGAAGACAGTGCTGTTTCCCTTACAAACTTATATGCATTTATAGCATTTGGGAGAAAGACTTTTGTTATTTTACCCGTATCGCCTTCTATATATCTCTGGTTCCACTTTTCTAAGGTCTCCAGTCGGATGAGTCTTTTTATGAATGACACTGGGCAAAGGTCATAGTCTGGTTTTTCTTTACTTCGCAACGCAGCATGTTTCGCCAACTCATCGGCCCGCTCATTTTCCATCAGACCCGCATGGGCTTTTATCCAGAATAATTGGATAACTTTTTGTTGCGAAAATATGGACTGTATATTTCTGCGAGTCTTAACTGCAAGGGGATGTTTGGTGTCTTGGTTGACAATGGTCTCGAGTGCTGCTCTCGAGTCACTGTAAACCCCAAAACTTTTTTCGTTGCTACTGAGGATTCGCTCAGTTGCCCTCAATATGGCCAGTAATTCCGCCTGGTAAACGGTGTAGTAGTCCGACAGTTTGAGCTTTAGAGTTCTGGTCTCAGCTTCATTTTTCCAAAAGGATAATGCAGCTCCAACCTTTCCCTCTATTTTGCTCCCATCGGTAAATATTCGGAGACTCTGGGTGTTGTTGAGTCTCATATCGTGCTCGTTCACCAGGCATGTGAACTCCAGGTCCATATTATGGGATGCTGGGTGGGGCAACTCCGTAAAGCTCGCCATCGCCTCCACCACCCGGTCCCCTAGTACTGACCGGTGTTTACCTCTCTTTACCTCAAAAAGGGTGGCTGCTTCTTGGACCTTCAGGTCTAGAGGAAGCAAGCCAGCCAATACCAGTGCCGAGCGGAGGGAGACCGTCCGGTAAGCTTTAATAATTTTCTGAGCGAATCCTCTTTGCACAGCATTTAATTGCTTTTTTGTTCCCAACTTGCTAGCGGCCGGTGTCCACACGCTCGCCGCGTACAATACTACTGGCTCAACAACCGCCATGTATATAGCCCTGATAATCTCTGGCTGAAGGCCCCAACTAACCTTTGCAGCTCTTGATAGTTGGCTGTAGAGCGCTGTTGCCTTTCTACACACATTTCTCACGTGGATGTTAAAGGTGAGTTTCCTGTCTATAGTGACACCAAGCATCTTAATCTCTTCTGACATGCCAATGCCTATCCCGCCCATGTTAAGATGTGGGGAATCGTATTTCAATTTATTAGTCATAACCATAGCCTTAGTCTTATGTGGCGCGAATTTGAGTTTGTTACGAATTCCCCACCTCCGAACATGTTCAAGAGCGGCATTCGCACGTCCCTGGATCTCAAGAGCCGTGTCACCTGCAAACAACAGAACGATGTCGTCAGCAAACGCCTGGCACCGGTCACCCCTTTTCTCCAGGTCCTTGAGCAAAGGGTCCAGAAGCAAGTTCCACAGTACCGGTCCTCCTATGGAGCCTTGTACGCACCCTTTTGTTGTTTTCTGTGTATGCTCAACACCCGCATACCTCACTCTAACTCTTCTGTCCTGGAGATAACTGTCAACCATTTTCCTGATGTTTATGGGGCATCTTTCCTCAGCCAACCGACATCTTATTGCTGACCACCAAGCACTATCGAATGCTCCCTCTATGTCAAGGGATATCATAGTTACAATCTTCTTGTTCCGTAACTGTGTACGTATGTATTCCATCATGTCATAGAGGGAGTCTTCGGTGCTTTTCTGTGGTGTGAAGCCGTATTGGCAAGTACTGACCCCTGGTTGAATATGCCATCTTATTCTTCTAACTACCATCTTCTCCAGGACTTTTCCCATAACCGGTAGCAGACCTATGGGTCTATAGGCCTTCGGGTGCGTATAGTCTTCTTTTCCCGGCTTTCTTAGGACCACAACTACTGCTTCCTTCCATATAGTGGGGAAGTGCCCTAACTCTAGGCATTTATTTGCCAGGCTCAAGTAAATCTCAGGGTTATGGGATATCACCTCTCTGCAGATATCGGCCATGAAGCCGTCCCCTGCCGGCGCCTTTTTTGGTTTGAAGCTATTTAAAGCGTACTTTAACTCAGATAGAGTGAATGGTGGATCGCAAGAGTCATCTTGCGGTCCTGCATTCACTTTTTCAGACATTTCTCTTATGCGCTGATGTTCTGCGTTATCAGATTCAATTAAGTCCTCCGGGTAAAAGGTTTCAGCTAGCATTCTAGCCGATTCTGCAGTGTCTAATATTTTACCATCTTTTGTAAGTGGCAGGTCTTCGTGACGTTTTGCTGTTCTGCCGATTACCCGGTATATCCCATCCCATAAGCTTTCTTTGTCCTGTTTCCCACAGAACTCCTTCCAGCTTTTCACTTGAGCCTTTTTCGCTTCAGATTCATATTTGTCTTTCACTTCCAGGTACTCATTGACAACAGCTGCTCGTCGCACCGCGGCAGCACATCTTATGTGGCGTTTTTTGGTGATGACGTCTTTCTTTAGCGCAACAAGTTCTTCGTTCCACCACGGCAAGGTAAGTTTATTATTATTTTTTATTTTCGGTATTGTAGTTTCGCATGTTTCTTTAACTGCTTCTATATATTTTCCTAATTTATATTCCAAATGTTCCTTATTCTTTATTTTATTTATATCTGATATTTTAAAATTTTCATCTGAAAGAAATTGAGCCAGTTTCTCATGAAACTTACTCCAATTTGCTTTTTTGCTGTAGTATATCCTCGTAACTCTTTCTATTTTAATTCCCATTGTTTTTGCTTGATTAATTTTGAATTTAATTGTATTGTGGTCAGAACTTGTTACGTCATCGTCTTAGAGTATTCAACTAACAGGAGACGCCATGCGCATAAAGTTCCAAACAAAAAGTCTGTCACTTCTTGCGGGAGGCGAGGTAACGCACACTAAGCAAATCGTAAACATTGGGCCACGTCGTTACGCACGCACACAGCATAATATGAGCACACGATTAAGCAAAACGCACACAACCTTGAAAATCTCTCATAAATGTCTCATCGTTACAGTGCTTAACGCATAAACAACTAGTGCGAGGGCCTTGTCGATATGGATATGTCGATGAAATTTTATGCAAGTTACATTAGCCAATTAAATAAAATAAAAATGAACAAAAATTTAATGTGTAATATTACATTCAAAGTAAATTAAAAAAAAATACATAATGTACAAAATAATAATACAAAATTACCAAAATTAAAACAAATTGAAAAAGTATTATATTATATTTTTACTGGTTTTTAAAGTAAATAAATTTGGTATATATGTCACGAATACACTTTTTGGGATCACTCTTTTTTTGCGAGGTAGCTAATTCTAGTGCTTGTATATTTTTCCATCACCAAGTTTGCCAGTTCAATGTTATGTGGAACGTAATCATTATCGAAATAATGTTCCTGTATGCTTAAAAATATATAATATGCCTAGTTTATGAAATGTTTTTACCATTACCGGAAATGTTATCTGTATAGGGGTTTTAAACCGTCTAATTTTACTGATTTTACCCAACCTATAGAATTAAACCGTTTTAAGGCTTAGGGTTGAACTACATTTGGCAGCACGAAATCGCACTTTCCTGTACTTCTATTCTTTTTGGTCACTCAGAAACGTTATTTACTAGAGCGAGAAAGAGAGCGGGAGTGTATAGTTCCACCCTCAAAAAGCCAAAAATCCATTCTAATATAATATTATAAATGTGAAAGTGTGTATTTTTGTTTATTTGTTTTTGTTCTTCCTTTACGCAGCAACGGAATGGAACAATTAAAAAAACCGGCTAAGTGCAAGTCGAACTCGCGCACCGAGGGTTCCGAACAAATCCGTATATAAGTTCCCGTATATAATCCGGTATATAAGTTTAAAATTATTCAAAATATTTTTATTGTATGATGTAACTAAAAATTTATGCTTTTCGCAATTTTTCCTTTATCTGTGCTATAATACGTTGCTTCATACTAAATTTTAAGATTCTAAGTTCACGGGAAGTAACCTGTAGGTTTTGATTCCCTTGCGAATGTCGAATTTGCGGCATAAACGGCTGTATCTTTTGATTGCGTTGGCTTAGAAGTTTGATTTTTTCACAGCTCCAAGGGACAGTAGACTTGAGTATTTAATATGAATTTTAGCTTGATACCTCTACGCATTCTTGAGAAAAAGGCTCTTGACAGACAGACTGACAGACAGACGGACAACAAAGTGATCCTATAAGGGTCCGTTTTTTCCTTTTGAGGTACGGAATCCTAAAAATTAAACATTTGCTATCTCTTGGCCGAAGTTTACGCTTAACCCAAAAAATTACCCATTAAAGATTACAGTGAACATCACTATTATTGTCTTGATGATACCATTTTATATACTCGGAATTCCCCTTCTTTTTGTTTCATAACGTAACATAATGAAATGAAAATATCTATTTCAAATGTTTTATATACAATAAAACAATTTAAATTGATGTTTTCATTTCGTTGAAAACAATTAAAGATTATTAATGTTGTTTGAAATAATATAGTTTTGCAAACAGATCACAATAATATTGATGAATTTAAGACTATTCAATAACACGATTTGGTCTTGTGTAATTAGAACAAAGAGAAACGACATTTGTCTATAATTAAGCAAAATTTAATTATGTCCTAATGGTGCAAAAGTCCTTACTATAGTATTAATACTTTAAGTTGGCAACACTACCTGCTCAGCTATATTGATCAGAATTTTCGAGATTTAATGCTTATATTAATTATTGAAATCAAAATAAATACTTAAAAATGAAAGGTAACGCCGTCTTTTTGTAAATTTGTGGTCTGTGATCTTTTTTTACAAGAAAACACACTAAAACTCGGCATTTTTGTGGAGGTCAACTCACGCTTACGACTACTTGGTAACTGACGCCGTACGCGGCGCAACTAGTTTTATATAACGGGAATGATCCGCGCTCTCGTACTTTTGACAGCGGGGAACGCTCTCCAATGTCGTCTCCTGTTAGTTGAATACTCTAAGGTCATCGTATATCTTCCAATCATTCACCAGATTCAGTAGATTTTCCGAGCACGCTGTGATGTCAACATGGCTCTGGTATATTTTGCCTCCCCCTTGGACTCTACTGCCTCCGCCTATCTATGAGTCAGATAGACTAGAAGATCACCAGCTGATCGACCTCGGCGAAAACCGTACTGGCGGTCACTAATCAGCTGGTGATCCTCAAGATACCTCATGAGCTGGCAGTTTATAATGGATTCCATTATTTTGGAGAACAAGGAGGTGATGGCAATAGGTCTGTAGTTGGACGGGTCTGAGCGGTCGCCTTTTTTAGGGATCGGGTGGACCAAAGCTGTCTTCCATGAATTCGGGACTATGCCTTGGGAGTAGGAGTATCGGAAAAGACGCGTTAAAACCGGTACCAACTCCGGAGCACACGTCTTCAGCACAATGGGAGGGACTCCATCGGGCCCACTCGACTTGCTGACGTCCAGGGAGAAGAGTGCTTTGCGAACCGGGCACTGTGTAAACAGAACATCCGGCATAGAGCACTCACATCGAGGGATGGTCGGCGGTGTGTTCCCTCCGTCATCTAGAGTCGAGTTGGACGCAAAAAGAGAGCTCAACAGATCGGCTTTCTCCTTTGCGGCATGGGCCAGTGAGTCGTCCTCCCTGTGCAGAGATGGAAGAGATGGCTGACAGAAGTTCCCTTGGACAGCCTTGGCGAGAGACCAGAATGCACGGGTTCCCGAAGGAAGTCGAACTAGTTTCTCGCCAATTCTGCCGATGTGCTCAGACCTTGCCTTGGCAATGACGCTTTTGCCTTCAAAAGCGTCATTGCCAAGGCGCATCAACGTCTCGTAATGTAAACACCAGCGCACTTAAAAAGAAGTATTCCGCGTCCTTACCTGGAGGCGGAATTATACTTCTTTTTAAGTGCGCTGGTGTTTACATCACGAGACGTTGATGCGTCAGCCTAGGCCGGGTAGCACTCCTGCTTATAGCGTGATGCTATTTTACAGGGGCGACCAAACCATGGCTGGGATCTGCCTCCGATGGGCACCACAGAGGATGGAATAAAAAGTTCCATACCCTAAAGCACCACATCAGCAACAGAATCGGCAACAACGCTGGGATCTTCCAGCGAGAAGCATACCCGCCCCCAAGGGTAGGATGCAAAAAAAGACCGCATCCCGTCCCAATCAGCTGACCTATAGTTCCAAACACGGCGGCAAGCTGCAGATCGCAACTGCGATTGGAGCGTGAGTGGCACCGTACTCCGGATCAGACAATGGTCCGCAGAGCCCAGAGGGGCATCGACGGAGACCTGATATGAGGTCCGGATGAGAGGTCAGCAGAAGGTCCAACAGGGAAGGTACATGGTCTTCCACATCTGGGGTCCGGGTAGGCGAAGAAACCAGTTGTGTTAGACCATATGCCAAAGCAAAGTCATAGACAGATCTACCCGCATGATCGGTTAAACGAGAACCAAGCCATTCAGCGTGGTGTGCGTTAAAATCACCAAGTATTACGATCTCTGCGGATGGGACCTGTTGTAGCACGGAGTCTGCAGCCATTTGGACGTGGTCGATGAGTCGATCTGTGTCGGCATTACCGCTATGGGACCTATAGAGGCACCCGTAGACGCGGGGATGGGCGTCGCTGTCTACGCGCAGCCATAGGATGGACAGGTCCGTACCTTCAAGACTGCCGAGGCGTCGAAAACAGATGTCCTCTCTGACGTATACGCCAACTCCAGCCCGGGGCACAAAGGAGTGTTTCAATTTGTATCCCGGGTAGGAGAGATATGAAGTATCAGCCGGAGTGGACACCTGAGTGTCGGTTAAAAAGAGCAAGGCCAGCTGCGCCGTCTCTAGATGGTAATGGACAGCGTTAAGGTTGGAATGAAGTCCCCTGATGTTGCAAAAATTCACGGATAGCGTGACAGGGGTCGCCTTGGTTGTATTGCTCCGCTTGCCCCGAGCAGCATTAGTCACGAGCGGAATTTTGCCCCCCCCCCCCCCCCCCCAGAATACGTGGGGCAGCCTGAGCACCCACGCTCAGGAGTGAAGTAGTTTGGTCGTGGATGCTCAGCGAGGGATTCTCCAGGGGTGCTGGTACCCTCCTGGGGTAGTCTTTTATTTAATTCCACTACCATGTTGATGGGGGGGGGGGGGGGAAATGGGCCTCCGGCCACCTGCACTCACCAAGCGCAACGCAGAGGTAAACCTCTACTTCACGCTGGTATTCTGTGAGGTAGTGGTACCACCCCGGTTCGAGCTGGCCCATCCGTGCGACAGCAAAAGCTACCGCTTAGCTCTACCACTGTTAATGTTGATGTAGAACTGATTTATAACTTTTAGCTCACGTATTATTTCTTATACATAATTATACATGTTTAAATTATCAAGAACATTCTAGTATATATTTTAGATCTCAATTAAGAAGGCGAGGGGCGTGAAGAATTCGAACGCGCTAAATCTCAGCGTGCATTAACAGTTGTAATGTTAATCAGTACCTATAATATGCGGCGTTTGTTGCCAAGGTAATCATCACTTTTAAAGTTTCATAGTATCATAATACCACAGTAGAGTACTTACCGTCCTATATCATCTAAATTATAATTGAATTAAAATAAAATCTTTTTGACAAATAAAAATATTTATCCCTAGAATTTTTGTAGTAAGGTACAAAGGGACAAAACACGTGGTTATATACATTCTTGTCTTCCTCAGCAGCCCTTGTCCCGCAGTAGTCTTTATAATAAAAAAAATCTGTGAATATGCGAATAAAAAATGTTTCTTTTATCACGAAGTTTATTTTTATTTTATACTTCATCAAGCAATTAATATTCAGTAAATTGCGAAACATTTTTTTTTTCATAATTTACTACAATCGGGTCTAAGATTGTATTATGTATTTATTATGTATGTATTACGTAAGTCATTAGCACTATTGTTCAATATGATATAAAAAATTAGTCTACTTACAGGTTTCAATGTATATTATACATTTTTTAAATTATTTTGACTCCATTCTCGTAGATAGCTGTATAATAAACATATAGATATATTGGTATCAATTATTGGTTTTGTTAAAATGTACGGACGTTAGAAGAATGTGGATACTCCAAATGGATGTAGTCCACTTTAAAATGTGAAAGGTATTAATCTGATCGCGTAACGTTTTTATTCTTTTTTCTTCAATTCATAAATAATTTACCACTGGCTGGGCCAATTATATTTACTATATAATTTCCATATTTGGCAGTCGGTAAGAAATTAAAATAAGAATTGTTGATTAATTTTATTTTGTAACTAGTGACCTGCCCGGCTTTGCCTGGGAATGATCTGTTAATGTGCCATCATTTATATTTTTCTTGATGTGAGTTATAATTTATTATTTTTCTACCGACTTCAAACAGGAGGAGGTACTCAATGCGACTGTATGTTCTTTTATGTGTGTTACCTCATAACTTTTTTCTGGGTGAACAGATTTCAATGATATTTACACGTGGTAGAGCCATGCTGCAGCTATATTAGTAGTATAGTTGTAGCACAAATGGGTCGGCTCGACCGGGGAAGGACCACGCTCTCACAGAATACCAACGTAAAATAGCAGCTTAATGCTGCTGTGTTTCGTATGGTGAGTGTAGAGAATCGGAAACCCTTATTACTAGCAAATAGGCATTCCATCTTAGTCCTCACGGGTGGTAACGCATCTTGAGTCTTTATTGATGATAGATGTAGATGTCTATGGGTCACAGTAGCCACTTACCATCAGGTGGACTGTGTGCTCGTTTGTCACCCTATCCTATAAATAAATATTTTTCTTTGAAAGCTGGTGCTTCTCATGTGGTCCCATATAAATTTGATCAAGGTCTGATCATTAGTTTTTAAGTTTTTCTTATAAATTTATATTGAAATCGGTTGTGCAACATTTTCAATTTTAATTATTTAATATCGGCTGCAAAATTTTAGTTATCTTTAATTTATCTTAGTCTTGTCTATATTAATATATTATATGGTTCGACTTGTTTCATTAGAGGGCTGCGCCCAGTATATGTACATATGCTTGTGTAGTTTCCTGTAGCCGCAGCTTAGGTAGGTCCTAAATACGTATGTGTAGAACATGCGGTCCCCTATATAAGCCCAGATATTTTAGTTTTAGGCACACATCAAGCCCTAGTGCTAAGCGTGAAGTACAGAGCTAAACTTTAAAATAAACCCTAGAAAATGTTTACAAAGGTAACACATAAATAAAATATCACTTATAATAAAAACTAAAATCTTATAATGTGTTATTAAAAATAACAATTTTTTTTAACAATTTGTTGTTAGAATTCTCTAAGAACTAGTTCTGATTACTCGCTAATCCATTTAAATAATTCTGGATATATTTTAAGAAAACGTCGTCCCTTAAAACCACATTATACTTATTGTGTAATTATTATTATTACTTTTGTTTCCAGATTGTAGGTGTTTGCGCTCTCTTGAGCGTAGTTCGTGGAGGACTTATTGCGAGTCCGCACGGAGCAGTTTCATCGCAGAGCATAGTCCTAGGGCACCCAGCACCAGCACCATCGTATGCTACATATGCCGCACCGGCTTATGCTTCGAATTATGGCATCGGACTAGGTAACTTTAAGAAAATATTATAAATTATTCATTGCAGCACTTTCATCATCCTTTATCATGAGAAATAACTGTGGTGAATACTAAGACCATCTTGTGACTTCAATGGTTTCAGGAATATCATTCCCATATATTGTGGGTCATGGGGATCAATTGCGGCCAAGATACAATTTGTTCTGTTCAATTATCGATAAATCGCGTACTTTGAATGTTTACGTCCAGCGTTTGAGTTGTTATAACCAAATAATGACGTATACTATCATATTTAATAACTAATTTTACCAAAAGTACGGCTTTCATTTTGATAATATGAATAGCGTTTATTCTAACATCAGACAAATTAAATTTTTGTAGATCCTCTATAAATTTAATACTTGGTAATTCTTTGTGTTTTCAATAATAAAGATAATTAATTAATTATTCTTCTATAAGAATGTTTTGACGAATGAATGAATGATTCTTTTAGTAAATCAATGACACGAGTAAACAGTCCACCACTACAGGTTACTGTAGCCCACGGACACTATCAAACGTCTTCAAAAATGAAGGTCAATGTCAAAACTATTTATTTAATTTAGGCTTGTTTAAAGCTCATATTGTTAAATTAAACACGACTTTTGGTGTAGAGGATAGAGTAGACTTTTATACAAATATTTTAAACAAAGAATCCACGGATTTTTTAATGCTCCTGAGGGTTAAAAACCAGTATAGTTACAGGTTGTAAGACACTTTTTCACAGCCTGTTACTACACAAGATCTCTCACCCTTCAAATCAGAATACGGCATTCGCCTATACATATAGTTGCCACTGGACATAAATGGAAACCAATGGACATTATGGTAAAATTATTTTTACCATAATTTTACACACACACACACACACACACACACACACTCTTTTATTAACGAATCAGTCTGATAATATTATTTTTATAATAGACTAGCGATCCGCCCCGGCTTCGCACGGGTGGTTTCTGTATGTCGACAATAGCGCCACCTACTGGGTCCAATTGTCTATCTAATTCAAGGACCCACTCAAACACAAAAAGTTACATTTAAATCGATCTAGACATTTTTGAGTTTTCGCGAGACTAACGCACGGCAGTTGATTTCTATATATAAAGATTTTATTAGTTCAGAAATACTATACCAGGTAAGCTAAACTGTATTTATGATAAAGACAAATTACAGGTCACAGTGCTATCGTTGCACATGCAGCACCAGTGTACCACGCAGCACCCATCGCCCACGCCGTTGCCCCTGTTGAGGTTTATGTAAGTATAAGTATATTGAGCAACACTACTAGCTACTAGTATTCGCACTCAATGCAATTATTTATAAATCGTAATAATAAATTTCAAAATTTGTCACAGATCATGCGCATTTGGTCAATCGTATTTTATAAATATTAGACGGGGAAATGTTCCTTGGCTTTAATGTAACAGATGATGAAATTTAATAATAAGTTCAGGGCAGAAAAATATTTTCTTTAAATAAGTGTAAGGCCGCTGCCAAACACAGACCTCTCTCAAGGAATGGCATAAAACTAGGTGTCTCACATTTAAATTGGAGGCCGAGGAAGAGGGCGCACCATGTGTTCTGGTGCGACTTACCTGAGAAGGAGATGGGGAGGGGTAGTCCTCACCCGAGGAGAGCAGCGCAGGTGGGGCGGCCAGCGCAGGTGGGGCCGCGGATGTGTGCGAAAGTGTTCCCGTGGTACTGCCAATATGCGACGAAGGTGGAACACCATGTGTTTTTAGTCGGTGTGAGTCCAACATAACCAGTTCTTGCCCCCGCGAAGCGGGTATGCGTAGGCATTTCCCCATGTAAAAAAAAAGGTTTCTCACACTTGCATTTGATTCAGACCTATGCTCAGCAGTCTACTTTTGAAAGGCTGTAATAAAAATAATAATAATGATGATGATGAAGATGAAGTGTGAGAGGAGAAACGTCAATCTCGTCTGCACGTGTTTCACCTGCTGAATGACGAACACGGTTATGATAAGCCTGATACCGAAAAATTTATCGAACATTGTTGTGTTTACATCCCACTTATTTTTCAATTCTGACTAAACCGCCTCAACATCGTTGTGAGTAAATATTTCAAGATTGTTTTATAGAATAAGGATAACAAGAAAGCACACAGTTCAACTGATGGTAAGTGGATGCTGTGGCCCATATACATCTACATCTCTCCTTGTTTAGAATCAAAATGCAGACACGTTGTCAACTCTACAGGATTTTTCTGCTGTTTCACACAAACAGCGTGGTCCTACACTAGTTTAGCCGACTCATTTGTGGTGTAACTATATATAGTTGCAACGTGGCTCTACCACATTATATATACCAACTGGCACCTTCTTGGGAAGGTTTGTTAGCAACTGTGAACTCAAAAGGGATATCAATGCCTGTGAATATTTTGTAGATTTTATTAAATCTAAATTATCTATTTATTATTTACAGTCCCACCCCCGCTACCAGTTTAACTACGGAGTCTCTGATGCCCACACCGGCGATCAAAAGAGTCAGTGGGAGGCGCGCGACGGTGACGTGGTGAAGGGTCAATACTCTCTAGTCGAGCCCGATGGCACCGTCCGTACCGTTGACTACACCGCTGATGATCACAATGGGTAACTTTTTAAGTATTTTTTAATTAACTTTTGACGGGTATGCCCTTGGTATTATTACCGTCAATTTTATATTCCTCTTATTACTCAATTTGTCGGACATATATTTCGAATACACACAACAACAAGCTAAGTTAAAATTGGAGACCTGTTGACTTTCTTCTGTCGTTTCTTCGCCGGTCAAAGGAAACTCATTTCGAAATCGCAGTAGAATTAAGCTTGACAGTCCAAAATTGAATGTCTTATATGTCTTACATGTCGAAAGAAAATATTTTAATTACATTTAATAAACATTCATTTCTTATGGTGCTCAATTTATTTCAGTTTTTCCATTTCCAAAAACGTTTAAAATAACCAATTAAGCCACAAGACAAGATGGTGGCCTCCCTTTTTTTCCTATATACAGCCTTAAAGAAGTTATTTGTGATTTTCTGTTAACTAATATAAGAATCATGTACACGTGGCTTGCCAACTGACCCAGCTTGTTTTAATTAAGTTTTAACGATCAGGAAATAAAAATAAAATTTTGCGGAAAAGAAATCTCTACTTTCATTTCAAATTTACGACGTGCAATTTAGTATTAAGGCACAATGGGCTTTAATATATTTAAAAAGTCTATTTTATTCATCAAGTCAATCATCTTCATCATAGCGTTAAAGTCCACTACTGGGAATGAGTTTTTCACATTTTGGAAACAATGTGTATTATTCGTTACGCTTGACAGGTGGACTGTTGTATAACGTTCTCAGTACCGGACGTTGTGACGCAATGAATAAATACTATACTCAAATAACTTTCGTTACTTTCAGGTTCAACGCAGTCGTGAACAGGCAAGGACATGCTGCCCATCCCGCTACCGCTCGCGTGGTTAAAACCTTAGTAGCTGCTCCAGCCCTAGGACATGGCCATCTTCTCGGCTAGACGCCAAATACAATCCCTTCTCTAACAACGTCAATTATTTATAACTTGCGTGTAATGTACTTAGTATAAGCTGATGCAACGAATCTAACGGTTATGGCTAAAAACGGGCTGCTCATTGGTATGCATTGTGAGCATTGGTATGCTTTAAGGCTACGCGTTTTATAAGGTGTATCGATACCGGGACTTTGATGTCCACAAATTAAGACATTTTTGCCATCAGTATCTGTTTTAAATCAAACAAATCTTGCTTTTGTATTATATTTTCATGTAGTTTATAAGTATCCCGCAAGTGTTTTTAATATAAAAGTATTGTTAGTATTGAATACATTTTATGAAACGTTGACTATAATGCCTGCTTTGGTGCTGTTTGAAGACTTCTTTATTTTGCTGCTAAAATGTAAATTAAAATATTGTTACTTTCATAATTCAAAGACTTTTATTAAACACCTCTTTTTTTAACGACTCAATACTGCAGTGGCTATTAGTATAATTGAGTCTTTTCGGGACAGGGTTACGATTCCCGCATGGAACTAGTGTTTGAATGTCCTACAAGCAATAATTGGTTGGCAGTGACAAATAAGCACATGTTGTAGCCCATAGAAATCTACATTTATCTTCAATTAAGAATCAAAAATCAGATGTGTTGTCACCCCTGAGGACTACGATGGAATGCCTAGTTTCCAGTAAAAACGTTATCCGGTTTTTTACACTCACCATACGAAACACAGCAGTATTAAGCTGCTATGTTACGCTGGTAGTTTTCTCCGGCCGAACCGACCCGTTCGTGCTATAACCATAATATAGCTGCAGTGTGGCTCTACCATATAAGATGATGGTGAAAAACCGATGTGTAATTATTTATGTAAAGTGCCACTTTTTGATAGAGTAAAAAATCCTAATGTGGAAATTATAAATATATTTATAATAAAAGCCCGAAGACAGTGGTTTTATCACATCTTATTAGCAACGACAAAGAGCCTTATATAATAATAGAAGTATTTAAAATAATACAATCAACATGTCGCTGTATAAAAAAATTAAATTATCCTTAAAAATATTCTAGATCAAACTTTATATTGGACTATAGTGTTACAAAGTCAGCAAAATTAATATGACTAAACTATGAGATATTGCATACAAATTGCAGTCTAACCTTATTACTTTTTTTATTAGAAATTTTGAGTTTTGTGAAGTAATATGTGCACATACAAAGTGTAAATGAAATACTCTTTCGCATCACTATATTTTTATAATGATAAAAAAAATGAGTTATGTACTGGTATAAACGGTATATATACTATATCTAACCTATCACTAGTTAATAAGATCAAACAATAATATAATTTCTATATGGAGTGTATCAGGTGGCAGCGATCCTTTATATATGTAATGATAATCATAACCTATAATATGCGGCGTATGTTGCCAAGGTAATCATAACTTTACAAGTGTCATAGTATCATAATACCACAGTAGAGTGCTTACCGTCCTATATCATCTAAATTATAAATGAATTAAAATAAAAACTTCTTGATAATTAAAACTATTTTTGCCTAGAATTTTTTGTAGTAAGGTACAAAGGGACAAAACACGTGATTATATACCTTCTTTTCTTCCTCAGCAGCCCTTATCCTGCAGTAGTCTTTATTATAAAAAAATCTGTGAATAAAAAAGTTTCGTTTATTACGAAGTTTATTTTAATTTTCTACTTCATCAAGCAATTCATATTCAACAAACTGCGAAAAAAATTGTTTCAGAATTTACTACAATCGGGTCTAAGATGGTATTATGTAAGTCCTTGGCACTATTGTTCAACTTATATTTCTCAGATATAAAAAATTTAGTCTACTTACAAGTTTCAATGTATATTATATATCTTTTTAATTAATTTTTACTCCATTCTCGTAGATAGCTGTATAATAAACGTATAGTTTCGATATCAATTATTGGTTTTGTTAAAATGTACGAACGTTAGAAGAATTTGGATACTCCACATGGATATAGTCCACTTTAGAATGTGAAAGGTATTAATATAATCGCGTACCGTTTTTATTCTTTCTTTATCTATTCGTACATAATTTACTACTGGTTGGGTATCTCCAATTGTAGGGTATATTTTTATAGTCGACAAGAAATTAAAATAAGAATTGTTGATTAATTTTATTTTCTAACTAGCGACCAAAATTTTTTGATTTTACAAAAATATACTACCAAGTTTTTGAGACAAAATATCGCCTAGATCACTCCTGATATTGCTCTTTGGCAACTCCGCTGGCAACCACCAACGTGCCATCGGCATAGCAAACGATATCGACGCCAGCGAGAATTTCAACTCGCAGAACCGCATCATATGCGAGGTTCCACAGTAGCGGCCGCAGCACCGAGCCTTGTGGGACCCCACGTCTGATCTCCCTCCGGATCTTTCTACCATTTTGCCCCATGTACAGAATGTACCTGTCGTGCAAGTATTCCTCGATAACACCTTGCAGGTAGGTGAGCACCTAATGGTGTACCTTGCATCTGGTAAGGTTGGTCACAACTTGGCACTTCGCATACAGTCGGTAAACAGCTGTCTAAGCCTGTCCCCCAGGGTAGCCAGACACAGCACTAGGGCTCGACCCGGGATACTGTCGGGTCCCGGTGCAGTGTGCCGGGCTATTAAGTGGTTAACGGCTCGGTCCAGCTCCTCCACGGTCACCGCCATCTCACCTTGCCACTCCCAAGATGATGGTGGGTGGCATGAGGTACTTGACTGGTCCTCTGGGAAGAGCGTGCTGATCACCCTTTCCAGCAGACCCGGATGGAGAGTTTTCGTCAAGGGGGGCGATTCTGTATGGGCGCCCCCAGGGATCTTCGTTGAGCCCCCCAGGAGCTTATTCCAGGACCGATACCTGGCGTTGGCAATGGCGAACTGCAGCGCCTTTGTAGCCGCGCGATATTGCCCGTAGAGTCTGGCTATCTCCTCAGGCGGAGCTCGTCTCCTCCTTCCGAAAGAGATAGTACCAGTGCGTGTTGCCAGTGATGACTTATGGATCTGAGACGTGGTCTTTCGCTGCTGGTCGTTTGAGGAGGCTCAAGGTCGCTTAGCGAGATATGGAGAGGGCTATGCTCAGGGTTTCTCTTCGTTATAATTTTAGAAATGAGGATATTCGCAGTAAAACCAGAGTGATTTATATAGCCCAACGGATTAGTAAGCTGAAGTGGCAATGAGCCGGCCATATAGCTCGAAAAACCGAGAACAGATGGGAAAAAAGGTTCCCGAGTGACAGCCTCGTACCGGTAGGCAAAGTGTAGGGTGACCCCTCACTAGATGGAGTGACCGATCTGGTAAGATATGAAGGAAGTCGATAGATGCAGGTGGCTCAGGACCGTGCTTTATGGTATTCCTTGGGGGATGCCTATGTTCAGCAGTGGCTTGTGAAGGGCTGTAATGATGGTTAATGATGGTCAGTAAAAATGGAAAATAGTATGCTATGCTTTCAATAACTTTTATTTAATGTTATTACATTTCTCGTCAAAGTCACTTTTCAGTGTAATTAACTTGGAACGGCTTTTTTCTAAGCTTGAAATTTCCTTCCTAAAAACTGTTCATAGTAAGCATCTAAAACTTTTTTTATTTATCATTGTTATACCTCTGTAGTATCAAATACTTCTTCAATCCCGCAAATAGATAAAAATCACTGCGTATAAGGTCTGGTAAATATGGAGGATACTCAAGTATTTTTAATCCAATATCTCTAATTGCAGGCATCGTAGCGGCTAACTTGTGAGCGACGGCGTTTTCTTGATGAAACAAAGCAGTCTTTAAGAGTTTTCAAACCTCTTTGAGAATATTTTTATTGGTTTTGAATGAAATTCCCGTAATAGTATCTTCGTAGCGGCCTATCTTAGCGGCCGAATGGTGTGACTGGCATTGATAAAAAGTTGGAGGTGATGGTATTTACCAAGTCAAAAACTGTAATTTTGTTTTGGGTTCGTCATTTTGAATCTAGAATTTGTCCAGAGTTGGAAATCAAAAAAAAAATTACGATTAGTATCTTGTCGTAACCCTTCCAAATTAGCTAGGGAATTAGCCAGCATGTTTTGTTCCTCGGATTTTCGGAAATGTGAAAAGTATGCGTAATAATAATTAATACAATGAAGTTGCAAGGAAAACTATCACAGCTAAGTAGGCTTAATAAGTTAACGATTAATAGTCAATTAAAGTCAAATAATAGTCAAGCAACTTATAAAATTATGAATTAGTTAAAAATTAGTTACAATTGCATAGTAAATTATCTAAAACTAGCTGCATTATAACTGTTATCACTAACTGTTATTGTATACTACAAGAAAACGACTATGCTTACTATAGATTTACGTTTTCTTTTGCGGGTTAGGCAGAGAGGATCGATCGCCAAGAGACCGACCCTGACATACCACTTTCGCTAATTTTTAATTAGTAATTATTATAGCACTTTCATCCGTAGTACTCTTGGTTTACGCTGGCAACCCTCAGGATAGCTTAGGACAGTGGTGGTTTACTGCAAAGTTCGTTACGTTCATGTATGTCATATGATAGGAAGCTATAACCATTTTTGTACGAACTTGGCATTTGAATAATTTGATGTAGAACTAATCATGTAAAATGCTACCTATTGTATCCATTTTCGTATTTTTACTTATACTTATTACAACCTATATAATATCTTGTTTAGTAGTGAGCTAGAGAATAATCCATCCTACTTAAATATGGTTCGATTAAGATACAAAAATAAGCTTACTATATTAATCACATGTGGTGATTTATAACTTTTGCTCACGTATTATTTCTTATAGATAATAATATATGTTTAAATTATCAAGAACATTCTAGTATATATTTTAGATCTCAATTAAGAAGGTGCGGGGCGTGAAGAATTCGAGCACGCTAAATCTCAGCGTGCATTACCAATTGTAATGATAATCATAACCTATAATATGCGGCGTATGTTGCCAAGGTAATCATCACATTACAAGTG